CTGTGAGGGGCCCGGTACCGGGGAGGGGGATGGTGAGGGCCCTGGTACCGGGGCGAAGGTGCTGTGAGGGTACTGGTTACTGTGCCCGGGCGGGTGGGCGCTGGCTTCCCCGAGATGGTGCCTGCTGCAGCCCTGCTCCTCATCACCCCCTTCCCCCCCTCCAGAGCCACCGAAGGTGGAGGTGTACTCCCGCAAACATGTCTCGCCCGGAGAAGAGAACACCCTCAACTGCTTCGTGAGCGGCTTCCACCCTCCGAAGATCGATGTCTCCCTCCTCAAGAACGGGGAGCCCATGAGCGGTGTGAAGTACACAGACATGTCCTTCAACGACAAGTGGTATTTCGAGCGCCTGGTGTATGTGCCGTTCACCCCCAAGAAGGGCGATGTCTACGTTTGCAGGGTGGACCATTCCGCCTTCAGGGAGCCGCAGTCATTCCGATGGGGTATGGCATGCCTTCCTCTTCAAGCTTTGCCACCGTTTGTGTGCAGAAGCCAGAGCTCATTAATTTGTAGCCCAGCGTCTCTGTTTCCCTTCTCAGGAAACACAGTGTTATAACAGGGTAGATTTTGAAGGTCTTGTGCTACAGATGGAAAAGTGGTTTCAGCTGGGCTGCTGAAAAGACTGTGAAAGAGTTTGTTCGTAGCAGGCAGGGAAGACATGCCTTGGTGTTATCTGTAGGTATTTTGGTTATGCTGTGTCTGATGACTCTATGGTCAATGGGTCATGCAGTGAGTTTTGGCTTTATATTTGGTGAATATAAAGAAGCATATAGCGGTGGGGACCAATCATGGTGACCCAGCCTGCTGCAGCAAGGAGACAGCCAAGCAAGGGCAGCTTTCTGGTTGCTGTACTGGGTTGTTTCCAGCAGGGGTGGGCTTGTGGTGGTGGGTGAGAGGGGGTGCTGTTTGCCCCGAACCCTAATGCTCTCCCCTTCTTTCTTGCAGAGGAAGACTTCTAAGCTGAGTCTGGGATAATCATGGTGAGTTACAATGATGCTCCATGCGGTGCTGGTGAGGAGAATGTGGATTGCTTTCTGTGGGGGGAAGTCTGTAGCTTGCAGAGTTGAGGACCAAAAGCAACCACCAAAAAAACCAACCCACCCATATCTATAGTGTTGCTGCTGATTGGGGGCAAGGCTGTTTCCACACCCTTCTACCCACTGTTTTGGCCAGTTCTCAGCCACACCTTGCCTACAAGAGTCTCCTTTGCTCAAAAGAAAGGAGCCCCTTGGAGCAAAACCTCCCTGCATGTTTTTGGTGTGTCTGCCAGATATTGTTCAGAGTTGTCACGTGTCCTCTAGTGCTTCTTCAGTCCCTGCAGTGCTGTCTTCCCTCTGGTGAGGAGGAAGTTGCCATACCTGGAAATCCCCATGACCTGGGGGGAGGCAGGCTGGTTAACCCTGCAGCAGGCAGCCTGTCGGCTCGGTAATGTGGGATTTATGAGGCACAGATCAGTGCCTTGCTGCCAGACCAGAAGCAGTCTCGGTTCACTGGTGTCCCACAGTCTGAGTGCTCCGGGTACTTCCAACTATCTGGGCATAACTGATCTGGATTTAGCAATTGGGAAGTACTAGTTTAACCCTTGAAAGGGAAAAGAAAACTAAAAGTACATGGCCTAGATGACATAGTTGCAATGCTGGTTGAAACGTCTTAGTTATGTAGCCTGGTAGAGGCTGGATAATTATTAACTGCACCCAGGACAAGCCTTGGCAAGACCTCACTTGAAATGCCCTCCACATTGGACCAGAAGAATGATATTGATTGCTTTTAGACAGTCAGAATGATGAGTCAAATGAACTCTGTAAATCAGAAAAACTGCCTTGGGCATTTCTTCTTGGGAAGATGTAGATGGATCGGAGTCCTTTACTTGTCGCTGTCTAGAGCTGCTCTCCCTCTAAAGCTCTCCAGCCCTTCCTTGCTGTAGAGCAGCAAAGACTCGGAGGGGTGTTAGGCTTTCAGAGACAAGAGAAAATGGAGGTCAGTTGACCATCTTTCTAGTGGGGGAGAACAGAAGAAGATAGATATACTCTTAATTTGTAGCAGAAAAGCTGAGGTGTGATATTGGGGGCGGGGGAAAGGCCCAAGAGATCCCCCAGAGCCAAAAATTGTTGGATTGGAAGGAGATTTAGAAGGGGTGCTCTAAGTGCTTAAATATTTGCTTCTAACTGCCAACTGAGATGGGATGCTGAGGTAAAGGGACCTGTGATTTGATACAGTACAGGCATTTCTAGGTAACAGAGCTCTGAAAAATTACATACAGCCACTCTTATGGTTTGTCACTTGCTTTTATGGAAACCTGGCCCCAGGGCAGGGTCTGAGGTGTGCTGTGCCCACGCGGCAGTGTGGCATGCAGCGGCTTTGGTGGCACATTGGCATGAAAGTCATCGATGATGAATAATGCCAAGCGTGGCTGGAGGTGGGATGTTGGTGACTTTGCTACAGAGTCTGGAGTCTCCGCCTCTGCAGTTGGAGTTCCCTTGTGGAAAACACTTTTTTTTCCTAAAATAATTACAGTTGGAGGTGTGAACAGAGTGACTGATGTCAATCTCCTTTCCCCCATGCAGGTCTGAAGAATTCTGCCTTGCAAATCTGAATCATCTTGAGCTTCTGTCCTTCACATCTCACTTGTGGATATGATGAAGAAGAGCAATAGTCTTCATTGCAGAATTCCTTCTTTAATAAAGCTTATCATTAAAATATCATTTACCCAAAGCAGTATGCAAGCTAGGCTGTTTTTTTGAGCATAGCTATAAATGTCCACATTACTAATTAAAAAAACAATTATAGCTCTTCAATGCTCTGAACTGTACAGGATTTTTATCTAAATAAAATTGAGTGGAGTCCTTAAAAGTGTTTCTTCAGAGTCATTTGACAACCCAAGCTGATTTCACGGGCTCAGATAGTCACTGGGTCGTGGCTGGATCTGGAGGGTATTGGCACCATGCTTGGGTGCACTTTTTTATCCTGCTGGGAAGGTGCAGGAATGTAAAAAAACAATTATAGCTCTTCAATGCTCTGAACTGTACAGGATTTTTATCTAAATAAAATTGAGTGGAGTCCTTAAAAGTGTTTCTTCAGAGTCATTTGACAACCCAAGCTGATTTCACGGGCTCAGATAGTCACTGGGTCGTGGCTGGGTCTGGAGGGGATTGGCACCATGCTTGGGTGCACTTTTTTTTCCTGCTGGGAAGGGGCAGGAATGTTTTTCCAAAAAAAAAAAAAAAAAAAAAAAAAAATTAAAGGTTTACGTGGGATCTGCCTGGCCACAGGCTCCTGAGTTGCTCTGAAGGGATGGCACAAGGTTAAAAAAAGGGACAAAGTGACCTTGGGGACACTGGGTCTGATCTTAAGGCTGGGTGAGAGGAAAAGAAGTGATGGGCAGGATGCGGTGTCCACTTCAAGGGGGAGAACTCCAGCTGATGATTCTCAGGGGTGCACGGTGTAAAGCTGGGCTGAGGGGAAGCAGGCATGCATGTCAGTGAGTTTAACTTCTCTTTTGCAAGCAGCTGACCCCATGGAGAAGCCCTGCGTCTTCTGCCACACCTCAGGGATTTGATGGCCCTATCCCAAAATGGTGCTACCCTAGAACCCGGCAGCCTGCCTTTATGTCATGAGGAATTCAGTATGATCACTTGGTGACTGTTGGATCAAGGAAGATCTCATCAGTGCAGATCTTGTGTATGTATGTGAACAAGGATTCCTGGCAACCCAGTGGGTGTGATCTATCGCATGTCTCTTCTTGGGTGTATTAAGGTTTGCTGTGACTGGTGTCACAGAACACCCACTTGAGATTTTGAGGGATCTTGGCTTGTTTCATAGATTTTATCCATTAAAACAGCATTTTCTGTGATGTACAAGAATAATAACTGTCCTGTGCAAACCTCTGGCTTTTCTTGAAAAGACATATACCTCAAAGACAAATTCTGTGCTACAAGTGACACTTTGCTGTGGTGAAGGGAGCAGTTATGGGGACTTTGCACTCACCAGGGGAGCATTCAAACCAGGAGAGGTGAGGATGTCATGGCAGGGTGATCGTGCAAAGCGCTCATCACGCAGCTTGTGACCCAGTGTGGGGTGGCAGGACTCACCAGAGCCACCATGCAGCTCAGCCTGCGATGCCAGCTGTGCTCTGGAGACCAGCCGGGGACTGCATCAGCCCCAGCAGTGGTCCTTCTGTGGTAGAAGATGGTCTGGGAGGGAGGAAAAGCTTTGGGCTTCTCCAGAGACCCCAGCAGAGCAGCAGAGCCTGCTGTGAGAGCCTGAGGTAACTTGAGTTATGGACCATGTCCTGGCTTCCTCCTCTGGATCACAAAGAGCCACCAAAGTGCCTGCCACTACCTTGGCTTCACCTTTACTATTGTTGAGAGCATCACAGAGTAACAGCTGGGTGCATCACACCAACAGGAAAAAAACTCATCCTAATTAGGACACGAGTGGAGTTGACTGCAGAAGCTGAAGACGTGGCGGCACAGACAACATGGGACAACCACATCTCCAAAGGAGACTTACATCAACATCTTCTTGCACCAGGGAAGTCTTTGCCCTGATTGCATCTGTGGGCTTTTTTGTGGTCTTACTTAGGAAATACTTTGACGGCTTACTCAAAAATCTCCCCTCTGGGGGTGACTGATGCATGCCAGTCCCAGAGGCTGGCTAATTTTGATTAATATGTGAATTTTGGGACCATATCTAGAACAGCCTTCTCTGTTTTATCCTTGGGGGTCCAGCTTGGGGGGCCCAAAGGTACCTGGGGTGTAGCTGCACTGCTGCTGCTGACTTTTCAGCAAAAGTTCCCAGGGGATGGAGTTGTTGAGGGCTGTCTTGGCAAGTTTAGAGCATGAAACAAGCCTTGTTTGTGCTTTATGACTTACGAGCAATTTTGCTGCCAGCAAACTGTTTCCTGAGCCAACCAATTACGAGTGTTTTTAGGAGAACTCTCTAGGAGACAAACTTAGGAGAACTTTTTTGAAGACCAGCTTCTTCAATGTCACAGCTCTTTGGAGTTTTTAAAGCTTCACCAGTTCCTGCATGGTAGGGAGAAAAGTTGAAGCAATGGGGTGTAAGAGGAGGGGAAAATCATTGAAGACACACAGCTGAATACAGATGTCCTCTGAGAAGAGTGGAACCAAGCGAAAGAGATGCTGCTGCACACCCAGTCTTGGCTCTGCCACCGCAGCTCCAGCTCTGTGGGAATAAAAGTTTGCCATCCATTCCCTCTCCAGCAAGCAAACCACAGCAAGCTGGGTAAAGGTGAATATCCACAGTGTGTTTTTACCTAAACGTTCACACAGTGTCTGCAAGAGGAAGGCTGCACAGCCCCAGGCCAGCCTGGGCTGCTTGGCACAGGCCGGCCCAGTTCAGCTCAACTAAACCGGGCTTACTGTGCCACACAGCAGTTACACCATGGTCTAACACCTCTCTTTACCCTTTTCTCCTTTAATTTGACAGCATTACCAAGCCCTTCATGGAAAGGCGAGTGCAAGCAGAAGTAATTCTTCAGCTTGTGTAAAAACTTGATGAAAAATGAGTAAGAATCAAAGACTAGGGGTTTCTGCATCACTTTTCAGTACTGCTAATACCTAACTTGACCGTTTAGGGCATATTCAGCTTTGCTTACGTATGTGCACTAGGGCATCTTTCTCCTGGGACGTGCAGAAAATCTGAGCATGGACGAGACTAGGTTGAGCCCTCACATGGCTGTGTCTCGCCCATGCATCCTGCTGGGCTGGACTTGCCCCATTTGGTGATCACGAACTGCCTGGGGGATGGTTTGTTCCCTCTGCAGCACAAAGCATGTGCTGTCTGAAGGGGATGGGGTCCGATCCAGCAGACGGCATGGGAGGACATGAAATCTAGGCAAAGAGATGCTGTCTTCTTCTCACTACCTCCTCTTTTGCCACCACCTACAGAGAACATGAATACAGAGCATCTCCAGGGGACCTCGTTCCCCCCATGGGACAGAGGGAAGGAGCTGGGACTGGGCAGTGAAGGAGGCCACAGTGTGAAGGCTTTTGCCTCACCTTTCTGCAGAAGCTGGAAGAGATTCAGAAGACGGCACAGAGTGATGGCAGAAGCAGAGAGGAACGAGGCCGTCGGATGCTGCTCGGCTCTGCCACTGCCTTCTCCTGGGCAAGTCAGCCACAGATGCCATCCCCACTGAGCCCTCAGCTCATCCCGTCCCCTTCCCAGGGGTGACACAACCTGGTCAAAGCCGTGGAGGATTTCCAGAGGAGGTTGAGCGTCAACACGCCCGGACACCGGTGTTCAAATCCCAGGGCAGCCAGGGCAGCCCCACTCGTAGCCCAGCTGTGCGTAGGTGTGGGTCACCCGCTGCCATTTTGGGACGCTCAGCCGAATGCAGACAGGCACGGGGGGGTGGCAGCGGCGGCCGGGAGCCTTCGTGAGGGGCAGTTTGAAACCTCTATGGCTTCACTTGCCGGTGCCTAAACGACTCGGGGAGGCGGGCAGCCCTGGAAAGGGCCGCCGCCCCTCGGGGCACCGCGCCTCTCCTCAGCGTCCGCCGCCGCTCCGCGTCCTCCCGCCACCGCCCCTCAGGGCGCCTCCTCTCGCCGCCGCCGCTTCCTGCCGCCATGTTCCGGGGCCGCCGCGCCTGGTTCTCGCAGAGCGTCAGCCCGGGCCCTCGGGAGCTGTGGGGTGAGGGGTCCCGGCGGCGCCCCGGGGATGAGGAATGGGGCACGGAGCTGACCCAGCCCCTTGGTGGGGCGCAGCGGTGGGGGCACGGTCCTCTCAGCCCGCAGCGGGGCAGAGCAATGGCGGCACAGCCCTGTCACCCCTCGGTGGGGCAGAGCAGGGCTGAGCCCCCCCCAGCAGGGCAGAGCACGGGTTTGGCAGGTCCCCCCAGTGCTGGGGCAGGCCACAGTGCCCCCACGCTGAGGAGAAGGCCAGAAGGGGCCCCCTCAGTGGGGCGGTAGGAGACCCGCAGCCATGGGAGGCCCATCGCAGCTCCCGCTTCAGGGCCGCACAGCCAGCCCGGGCAGCCAGCCCCATCCTGCGCCACCCTGGGTCCCCCCAGGCGCGTTGGGGTAGGGGCACACTGGGGCGACCACCTTCCTCCTCACCCCTCTTTCCCCCGCAGTGGCCGGCGGTGGGGTGCTCTCCCACTGGCGGGACGCCGACTACCTCTTCAGCAGCGACGCTGCCCACCCGGACACCCGCAGGTGGGCTGTGTCCCCCAGCCGTCCCCTCCTGCGTCACCCCCATGCTGGCAGCACCCTCCTTGCTTGGCAGATGCCTGCGGCCCCATTTCGCACTCACGTGGAGCCCTCTCCGTGTGACGTCTGTCATGCGATCGCAGCGCGCTGGAGGGTCGTGTTTGCACCAATGGCTGGATGTAGAGAGCAAAAGACAAATGAAAGCATAGATAACGGTTTTAATGTATTTAAAGTATTTAATGGATGCCAACATCCTTTTAAAAGCCAGGGTGGTGTTTCTAAAGTGCCTGGTGCAGGTCTGCCAGGCTTTTACTGCTTAGCGGAGTCTGAAAACTCACACACACGCTAAACTGTACCTAGGCAAAACAGAAAATGGCTGCAAAAAACATCCACATGTTAGACTGGCTTAACTCCAATGTAAATTAAACTAATTGCCATGGTTCTCTTGCTGCCTTTGAACTGATCTACTGGAAAATCCAGGGTCTAAAATAGAGGTGAGACTGTCCCCAAGGAAGGAACCAGGTGCAAAAAAGGCAGTGTGAGTTAATTCTGTGAAAGCAAACGGGGGGGTAGAAATGGCTGGAAAAGGGCTGAATTGCTCCTTTCCTTCTGCTTGCTTAATATAAAAAATCAGAGAACTCAACAACGTTTGTACAAATACAAGGAAAGGCTATTAAGCATCTTCCACCCAGTGAATAATTATATATATTCAAGGTCATGTAAATATGTTTACGTGAAAGGGGACTGCAATGTTTCCTTGCAGTGCTCTGCAGCAGGCTTTGCTAGGCTGGACTAAGCAGCTTCTTTTAACATGATTGCTTAAAACTGGCTTAGATTTTTGTAATCCTTCAGCCACCCGCACCAGCTTTGGGAGGGGAATCCTGAGAAACCCAGAGTAATGACCTTCCTTCTGCCACAGCATCCCACCGGACTGCGTTGTTCCCCCAGGGGGAATTGTATATAATTATATATATATCATATATGTATTCAATGTATATATTCAGATTATTTCTTGGAAAAATGTAATCACTATCCATACCCTTAAATATGACAAACAATATTTAATTCCCCTCTAAGGAGGACGGTGAGTGCTTGAGCATCCTCCGCCCACCCTTCCTCGCTCAGCTGTAGTGCTGCTGCTGTTTGGGGACCGCGCTGTGAGCCTGAGCAGGGACCAGTGTGGTTAAGAATAAATAAATAAAAATCACATTTTCCCCCCTCCCCAAAGAACCGGTCTTGTCTTGAGAGCAGGTTGTGGAGCGGTGCCATTTAGTTCCTAAAAATACATGTTTACCTGGTCCCTGGTGTCCTTCCTCTGGGCTGCTCTCAGGAGGTACCAGCAGCCGGGACCGTAACGGGATGTTGCTGGTAGAGTCTCATAGTTAGAAAATTAGAGAAAATTAGGTGCTTTTGGCAAAAATATCAGAGCAAGTCAGTTTTAACGACAATATCCCTTCAAACTTTTTTGTTTTGGGTTTTTTTCAGGCTTACCTTTGGAAACGAGCTGTCTTTTTCTCTTCCAGAATACACGAGAGCCTTGATTACTTGGAGGACAGAGCTACAGTCTTTCACTCCCATTACCTCTCTGAGTGGGCGAGCACCGGTGCGGGAGTGAAGCCGTCGATGCTTCTGGGCCACTTCATCCTGCCACCCGCCTGCCTGCAAGAAGGTTGGGGGAAAAAAAATCATCAGGTTTTGGTTCCCTTGGGGGTTCCCCCGTGAGCGCAGGCTTTTGGGGGTGCAAACAAGAACCTCCAGGTACTTCTGCTGTATGTGGAGGGAATTTCCTTCTGCTGGGCGCGATTCTTCCTCCCCAGGGACAGAGGAACTAATGCTCCATCTTTTATATTGCATTAGCGAGCAGTGCTGTGAGCTCCTGCCAGAGCTCCCGACTGCATTCGCTAGCACCTGAGAGGCAGGGGCATACACAGGCAGCGACTGCCGCACAGTCTCATTATTTGTTGCTCTCACAGTCATTTTTTTTTTGTTCATGGCAGAAATCAGAAGGAAAATCGGTAGTTTTATTTGGGAGCAGGCAGGTGATTCACTTGCAGAACAGGTAAGATGAGAAATTTATACTACAGGAGGTGTAGCTTAAAAAATATCGGTTGTATGAACTTCAGGGAGCCTGGTTTTCATCCCAGACCCTCAGCCCAAATATGGGATCAAATCTTCTTGTGCTTACTGTGCTGTGTGTGTCCCTCCCAGCGTGACATCCCGGGGGGGCAGCACCAGATTAAGCGCGGGATGCACAGGAGGGATTTTCTCCCTCACCCAGACAGACGTCCAGTCTCCCTGGCACATCCTTCCAGGGATGCTGATCGCTGAGGTCTGAGCTCAGCCCTTTCGTGTGGCATTTTCCTTCCCCGTGTAGCTCTGAGACACTGCCCGCTTTCTTCTCAAAGCAACTTCTCAGTACTTCTGAAGTGCAAATGTGATTAGATTTAAAATCGTATTCTAAATTATGCTTGAAATCACAAGTCCTAAAAATACCACTGTCTCGGACCATGTCTCTAGTGTTCTGCAGAGTACCCAGGGCACAATTTTAACTCAACTCTGTGTTGATACTCGCAGCCCAATGAAAATCTGACAGATGAACCAGAGGCGGCGAGAAAAGGCTGTGAGGAAGAAGTGGAGGAGGATGTGCTAGACCTGGCCGAAAGGTATTTTCCTGCCCTTGGCAGTAGGATTTGGATGTGCCCCCAATTTCAAGAGATGCCCAATGCATAGGAAATAACACACTGATTTCCCCCCCCCCCCCGATACAGCAGCGAAGAAGAAACAGACTCCAGAGCACCTGCCCAAGGGGAATTTCCATACCGTGCCCTCCAGGAATACCCGATGAATAACATGGTGACAGGTAACGTTCGGCATCGGTAGATTTTTGAAAAGTGGAAAATATGCCTGAAAATGACTGCGGACAAAGCAGGGACCCTTCATGTGCTCCTCGCGTCCTCCCGGTACTTACAGCAGCGGAAACACTGAGGGTGCGAATGGAATCGCTCCCTTCTCCTCCGAGCTTTGCATTTTCCGTTGTCCTTGTTTCGTCAGAGAAGAGGGCAGCTCCCCCAGTGAGACCCACGCTTTCCCTTCGTAGGCTACACCTCTGCTCGTGACATGAAGAAATACGTCGGAGAGCTCCGCGATTTCATTCCTGGCACTTCGGGCTACACAGTGTATTGGATTCAGAATGAAATTAACATTTACTCTGATGTGAAGACTAAAACGAAGAGAAAATTCTAAGCACCAGGTGGCTGTTCACATCAAAAACCTCACGGCTAGAGAGCTATTGGTCGTGTTTGGAGCCTCAGTCCTGCAGCTAGACGCTGGGATGTCTCCTTGCTTACTCTCTTTGGCAGATTGATGGTTATTTTACCCGTCAGTCTGTGTTCTCCCTGTGTTTTAGTTAAATAGTGAAGAGATTGGTGGTATCAAGCTGCCAATTCAGAGTTAAATCTCTGTAGTACTTAAAGGATTTATAAGTTATCCCTGCTTGGCTTATCCTCACTGTAGCTCAGTGTGTTCAATGTAAAGTTAAATACCTGGCTAGGTTTACTGTAAACATTTTCTTCTTTAAATAAGTATTTAAAACAAATTCCACAGCAAACTTAAATATAGACATTTCTCCCCAAAACACAAACCCTTTATTTGTACAGGGGGATTCAAGATGTGGCTGCGAACAGTAGTTTTCCTTGGAGGGACACGCTGAGGTCTCCTTGTAAGGAGAGGGGAGAAGTCACCCCACGGCACAGCCACCCCCACCCGTGGTATGCACTCACCGGTGGGACCCAGCGCTGTGGCGGGGCTGGCGGGACAGGCTGGGGGTGGCACAGCATCTCCTGGGCACGTGGGAAGCTCCGTGGCTTTGCAGAGGTTTTGAGCACAGGGCTCCAGGCTTCCCCTAAGCAAAACCTGCCTCATGCTGGAGCCGGTCCCGAAAACCCAGGGACCCCCGCCCAGCCAGGGTGCCCAGGAGCGCTGCCTGCTCTTGCCAGGGCGCCGTCTTGCAGGTCCTGGTGCTGGATGATGCCAACGGCCCAGGCTGAGAGCTGTAGGTCTCCTCTGCCTCCAAGGAGAGCCTCTGCATAGCAGGACAGTTTTGGGGGGCAGGGCTGAGCCCCAAAGCTCTCACATCCCTGCTGCACCCTGGGGAAATTGTTGGATGGAGCATCTTGCTGGGGAGAGGACAGCAAAAGCCTCACCAGGGTCTGTCTCCGCAGGGGCGCTTCCAGCCCCAGACAAGAGCGCTCTGCTCAGCCCTGTTCACTCCCCTCATACAAAGAAAACCAGCAACAAGACTTTTTCCTCTCATTTAAGCACTTAAAACTGACCAACGCGGTTATAAAAAGCAACTTTTATTCTGGCACAGCATGACCCCCGAGCTGTCCACTCGGAGGAGGCACAGGCAAACCTCGGAAGTGCCGAGGGTGAGGAGCTCTGGCAAGCTCCAAGGAGCCACCACGGCTCTCCTCTCCTGGCTGCGTACCGCAGGAGAGCCTGTAAAGTAACAGCTTTGCACCTCACACCCCAAACAGCCAGGAAAGAACCCAAAAAGATGCTGGTAAACGTAAAAGTGTTGAGTCCTCCTCACCCTCTGAAGCCTCGGACACCTCTATCTGGGACGCGGCACCCCGAGGAACCAGCCCTCCCTCCTCATCCCTGGGGACACAGGCTTCCAAAGACCAGGCAGGCTGAGATGGTTTCCCCATGTTTATTGGAAAAGTGACACAGAGCGACGGGCTCAGAGAGCTCCTCGGGGCGTTTTGAAGTTCATCCCCACTGTAGGCTGCGTCACCTGGAGGTTGGACAGGCTGCCGAAGTCCTGGAAAACAGCATGGGATTGGGATCAGTCACACCGCCCTGCCCGCCATCCGTGCCCAACCCCGCCGAGGGCGGAGGCAGATTCCTCCCTGGAGGAGTGGGAAGCGTGAAGGTGCTGTGGTAGCACGAAGGGTGGATTCATGTCTCCAGAAAGAAGGGGATATGACCACCCTGCTCTGGAGATCAGCCCATCGGTGGGGGGAATCTGGTCTTTCTATGGGTGAACCTCCACCCAGGGAGAGCTGCCGAGGAGGTTCTCGGCTCAGCACCCTAGGGTGCTGCGGGAGGAGGACGAGGAGCACACCCACTCTGCTAGCAGGGTCCCGGGCAAAGCCACCCTGCCTCTCCCCTCGCAAGAGCGTACAGGAATTAATCTGCCTGCAGGTCCCAGGGTGGAGCGACCCCCGCTGTGTGACCAGAGCGTCAAAGCCTTCAGCCGACACCATCAAGTGGGATTGCTGCTGCGGCCATGCCACCAGCCTGGCAGGGTCACCCCGGGCAGCTGGGGCCACTCACCAGCAGCTTCAGCATTTCCTTGGTATCTGGGTCCACTTCGATGATCTCCTGGTCGAGGGCAGAGACCTGGGGACGGAGGAGAGACGGATGCAGTTTGACGAGGCCCCACAGCCACGTCCCTGCTGCCACCAGGGTGTCCCCACACACCTGCTTCAGTCCCGTCCCACTGCAAACAAGATCTCACTGCCCATTGTGGGGAAGGGCTCCAGCCACAGGAGCCAGGAGGACCCCGATGGAGTCCAGCTCTCCTGCCAAAACACCACGAGAGGCCACCCGGCAGCAGAGAAGGAGAAGAGCCTCTTTTATGGCAAGTCTTTGGCAACCCAACGCCTAACCAGCTCCACACCAACACTGCCGAGAGGAGCTGCGGTCAGGTCCACAACGGCACCAGTCCCGGCGATCACCACCGACACTCGCGCTTGTCCTGCAACGCAAGTCCCCAAGGCTGGAGCCCAACCACCGCAGTGCCAGAGAGCAATGCCAAGTGACCACCTGGGCTGTCCCACCCCCAGGACCTGAGGTCTCCTGCTCTTCAAGCCCAGAGCAACCTCCTCCAACCCCCTTCGGACCCCAGACCTTGTTCTCCACGCGCTTCCATCCCCAAAAGGCTACGTCACACCAGTATTTTTGTAAGAAACCATGAATAACGTGGGTTCAGCTAATGCTGCATCGACAGCTACAGCATGGGTGCTCCTTCCCTGCTCGGGGTCCCTCAAGGGGTGACTTCTCCCACCAGCACCACCTCATTCTGCCTTCGAAAGGCAGCCGGAAGGTCACTACGTGCAACACATGGACAGTCGCCCCAGCCGGTTTCTCCAAGCCTCTGACACCAGCCATGCTGGTCAGCTCTGTGCTGACATCTAAAATCTGGGGCGTTGAGGCATCTATGAGAGGGGCTGCACAGAGCTGCCAGTGTCTCGCTCTTCATTTCCAGGTGCCAGGAGCGAGGGAGCCAAACCGAGCCCTCTCTCTTGTGGGGAGCCGCATCACCTCACCTTGGGCTACAAAACCAACAAGGTAAAACAGGGTGGCTACTCCCGAGGCAGATCTCTAGGTGGGGGGAACAGCACCAGCCCGCCTTGCTGCACTGCCACGGCTCCTGTGACATCCTACCATCATACCTGTTCCTCCCAGATCATCGCTAAAACAACCTTCCACATAACCAAACTCCAGCACTGACAATTTGGAAGAGCAGAGGTAAGAGAACTGAGCGTTTTTGCACAGCTCTACCAGAAGCCAACTAGGGAGATCTGGAAGAGGGGTGAGAAGCACCGTGTCTGAAGGCTACAGGGTTTGGAAGGGACGGGATTGAACCCACCAAACACGGGAAACGCTTTTGGAGCTCCTCTCCCTGCACTAACAACAACTGAGTCACGGGTGAGACCTCAACCCCTTGCGAATGCAGGTTCAAGATGAGAGGGGGTTTCACCAATTCCTTCTCTTCAGCGACATCTGCTGTACAGCAGGTTTTAAGCCACTCTGAAATATCCTCCTGCCTCCCATCGAGTTGTATTTTCCCTCATTTGAAGTTAGGAAACCGAGGAGGGATAGCATTTGCCAGCCGGCAGCAGAGTCGAAATGCAAGAAGTCAGCTGCCCCTCCCGCCCCAGGCAGCAGTTTTGGAGGGAGCGCCCCGACAGGAGGCCAAAATCCGCCTCAGCCCTCCTTGACCCAAACCCTCCTCAGCTCCTCCTGGCTGAGGTTTTGTTTTAAAGAAACTTGGGGCCACCAATGGAGCAGACCCCTCGAGGCGGGACAGACAGCGCCGCAGCGGGCACTCGAGCGCAAGCAGAGCCTCACCTCGGGGACGTAGTTATCCCTCCTCTCCCTCTCCTCCTCCTGCAGTTTGATGGAGATGCCTCGGACGGGTCCCCTCTGAATACGCTTCATCAGGTGGGTGACATACCTGCGGGGGGGAACACGGGACCATCCAGGACCTCCCGACGCTCCCGGAGCCCACAAAATCCCCGAATCGCAGCAGGGTGAAGAGACGGAGCCCCAGCACCCGCCCCGGGGAACGCCAGGGACGGAGAAATGTCCGGCAGCCACAGGGTCTGGGAGGTGGGGGACGGCCGCCCCAAACACGGGAAAGCTGCCGGCCTTCCTCTCCCTGCACTATCGATGACCGGGCCACGGGCCAGGCCGCGATCACTTTCGAATGCAGGCCGCGGCAGGAGCCCCCACGCCGCGCACCGGGACCCCCCGCGCCGCGCCTCACCCCGCGATCTTGTTGCGCAGCTTCTTGCTGGGGATGATGGCGATCTCCTCGCACACCCGCTTGTTGGTGTGGAAGTCGTTCCCTAGGCGGGTGTAGTACTTCTCGATGATCACCCGGGCGGCCTTCTTCACCGTCTTCGTTCGGACGCGTCCCTGGGCGGGTGGGGGAAACACCCGTCA